TTCAGTAAATTTGTTAAATAAACCTGAAGAGCAAAACAGGAATACGAAAGCCAAGAAAGGAAGGGACGCCTCTCCTTCCCCTGCAGGCCCCAAGTGTTACCGTTGTCATGGTGATCATCAGCATAAATCCTGCCCCTTTAAAAATGCAATTTGCCATTATTGTAAGAAGAGCGGTCATATTCGGAGGGCTTATAGAAAACGAAGCAAAGAAACACATAGTTTCAAACCCCCAGTAAATCACATTGATGATGATGATGATAGTGACAGCGATGATTACCTGGCTAGTTTAGAAATAAATAAAGTGGGAAACAAAGATAACGTAATATGGGTAACCCCCAAAGTTGAAGGAACACCCTTAAGAATGGAGCTAGACACAGGCTCTGCAGTTTCAGTTATCCCGTATCAGTTATACCGAGCTAAGTTTAGTCACATAAAGTTACAGAGAAGTCAAATCACACTTAAAACTTACACAGGGGAAAAGCTGTATCCAAAAGGGAAAATCAACTGTAGAGTTAGTCTCGATGGCCAGACAAGACAGCTAGATATTCAAGTTATTGAGTCCCCGGGACCAGCGTTATTTGGGTGTGATTGGCTTTCTGTAATCAATCTAGACTGGGGCGAGATCAAAGCCCTTAAAGTAAACCAAGAAACAGACAATGAGACACAGGGTAAGGTAAATAACCTTTTGAAAAAGTATAAAAGTGTGTTCGATGATGATTTGGGTACCTTGAAGGGACACCAAGCTGACCTCAAATTAAAAGAGAACTGTCGACCCCGATACTGTAAGGCACGACAGGTGCCATATGCCTTGCGACCTAAGGTAGAAGCCGAGCTAACACGTATTGAAAAGGAAGGGATTCTAAACAAGGTGGAACATAGTGAGTGGGCAACCCCTATTGTACCTGTGGTCAAACGAAATGGCTCAGTACGAATATGTGGGGATTTCAAAGTCTCTGTTAACCCAGTTTTAATCGCAGAACAATACCCTTTGCCCCGTATCGAGGATATTTTTGCCAATCTGGCTGGGGGTAAGCATTTTACCAAATTAGACTTACGCCAAGCCTATCACCAAATGGAGGTCACTGAAGAGACACGAAAGTATTTGACTATTAACACACATAAGGGTCTATTTCAGTATCAGCGGTTAGTTTTCGGTGTGACGTCAAGCCCAGCAATTGGCAACGTGCCATGGACCAGGTGTTACAGGGTATACCTGGAACACAATGCATCCTTGACGACATGATAATTACCGGAAAGTCCAATGAAGAGCACTTAGAACGGTTAGAGGAAGTTCTAAAGCGATTACAAGAGGCAGGTCTGAGAGCAAACAAAGAGAAGTGTGAATTCTTCAAGGAGAAAATTGTGTTTTGTGGCCATGAAATTGATGCCAATGGTTTACACAAAACCCAAGAGAAGATCGAGGCAGTAGTGAACGCCCCTAGGCCCGAGAATGTGTCACAAGTTCGATCCTTCCTAGGACTGGTAAATTACTATAATCGGTTTCTCCCCAACGCAGCTTCAGTTCTTCACCCACTACACGTATTGCTTCAGAAAAGTCACAAGTGGAAGTGGACTGAACAATGTGAGAAAGCTTTTAAAAATGCCAAGCACTTGATAACCTATGACCTAGTCCTAACCCACTACGACACAACGCTTCCAGTTAAGATCGCATGTGATGCTTCACCAACCGGAATTGGTGCAGTGTTGTCGCATGTTATGGCAGATGGAAGTGAAAGACCAGTGGCTTTTGCATCCAGATCCCTCACCAAGACGGAGCGCAAGTACTCCCAGATTGACAAGGAAGCACTGTCAATTGTGTGGCGGGTCAAGAAGTTTCACATATATTTGTATGGGCGACGGTTTACACTAGTCACTGACCATAAACCTCTGACATCCATTTTCCATCCAGAAAAAGGAATACCCATAATGACGGCCACAAGACTCCAACGCTATGCATTGTTCCTAGCTGGATTCGAATATGACATTGAGTACAAGAATACGAAAGAACACTGTAATGCAGATGGTCTATCACGACTACCACTGCCAATGATGGAGAAAGAGGATACAGCTGTGGATGCAGCTGAAGTGTTTCATGCAACCCAGTTAAACATTCTCCCAGTCACCAGTGAATCGGTAGCTAAAGAGACAAATCGTGATCCCATATTAGCCAGAGTTTATGATTCAATAGTTGAAGGTTGGTCAGCACGTTTCGAGGGAGACAAGCCCTACCATGACCGACAGAGTGAACTTACAGTTCATCAAGGTTGTATCCTTTGGGGAATGAGAGTGGTCATCCCTAGCAAGTTGCAAGAGAGAATTCTGCGAGAGCTACATGATAGTCATTTGGGTATCGTCAAGATGAAGGCCCTATCACGAAGCTATGTGTGGTGGCCAAACATCAACCAACAGTTGGAGAACGTAGCGAAAACCTGTAGTAGTTGTCTACAGAACCAAAAGATGCCATCCAAGGTATCCTTACACCCATGGGAATGGACCACTTCACCATGGCAACGTGTACATATTGATTATGCTGGTCCTTTTACGGATCCTATGTTCCTGGTGGTGGTCGACGCACACAGCAAGTGGCCAGAAGTAATTCCTATGAAGTCGACAACCGCAGCGAAGACCATTGAAGTACTAAGAAATTTGTTTGCACGATTCGGAATCCCGGAACAGGTTGTCTCCGATAATGGCCCCCAATTCGTCTCAGAAGAATTCCGGTCGTTTATGAAATCTAATGGAGTAAAACACATCACCTCTGCCCCATACCACCCTGCTACAAATGGCCTTGCAGAAAGATCAGTGCAAACATTCAAACAGGCACTGCGGTCAATGGAAGAAAGTTCGAAGCCAATTCAAGAGAAGTTAGCAAAATTTCTTATAACCTATAGAAATACCCCACATTCAACAACTGGAGAGAGCCCAGCACAACTTATGCTTGGCAGGCCAATACGGACACGTTTAGACTTAGTTAAACCTAATCTGAACAGGAAGATGGTGATCAAACAACAGGAGCAGAGCAGGAAGTCGGCCAGTGCCAAGAACAGAGCAACACGGCAGTTGGAAGTGGGAGACATGGTAATGGCACGTGATTACCGAGGAAATCTAAAGTGGAGATCGGGAAAGGTCATTGAAAGGATCGGACCTTTGATGTATAAGATCGAAGTGACATCAGGCGTAATCTGGCGCAGACATATTGACCAACTGCTGCCAACCGAAGTTAAACTAAGCACAATACAGGACAGGGAGCAAACTGCGAATATGGGAGTAGTGCAGCCGGAAGTGATATCCAGTTCAAGTGAACAGACGTTGCCAATAGTAGCAGCAGACTTGCAAGTGCAACAAGGGCTCCAGCACCCACGAACTTGTAAATGAGAGCACTACAGAGACATCAATGCCTCTGGCGACAACGAGCGAACGAAGATATCCAGAAAGAGTGAGGAAACCACCTGTGAGACTTGATCTCTAAAGTAGCAGTGTTACGGACAGATGTAAGGGTTAGAACGTATATTTACAGTATATAGATATACAGCAAAGACTGTTAATTATGACTTTAATGTTAATGTTAGGTGCAGCAAAGACTGGATATTGACTGAACAATTTTTAGTAGGGAGGAGATGTTATGGGTTACCTATGTTATTAGGATGCGCGCGCATCCACCATGTGTTCGGGATGAGTGCTTCTTGTTGAGTTATACACGAAATATAATATAGCTATTTAATAGAAAGCAAATACACAACACTATCCTGCACGGGAAAATATAGGATGCCCATCAGCAATACGTCATGTAACATTAGTTAAATAGGAACTATTGCATCATGCAGTTGTGACAGTTACCATCAGTGTTCAGCAAAGTACTCAAAATTTTTACTTAAGTAAAAGTGAAAAGTAACACCTCAATTTTTACTTAAGTAGAAGTAAAAGTACTGACTGAAAATTTTACTTAAGTAAAAGTAAAAGTATTGCCTGAAAATTTTACTTAAGTAAAAGTAAAAGTATTGCCTGAAAATTTTACTTAAGTAAAAGAAAAGTACTGGAAAAATATACTTAAGTAAAAGTACTACTGAAATAGAATATAAATTCGTGAAATTTGGGCGGAAGTAAACCGGAAGTAACAGCCCTGAGCCAAGCACATTCCCACAATCCCACCAAGTCCCACCCAATCCCACCCAATCCCACCAGTCCGTTTTAATAAGAAATACTTTTTTAAAATTTTTACTTCTCCAAAATATAACAAAAGTAACGAAGTAAAAAAGTAAATATTTACCAAAAATCGTACTTCGTTACAAGTAAAAAGTACTTCATTAAAAAAATACTTCGTTACAAGTAAATACTGATTTTTTTTACTTAAGTAAAGTAACGAAGTAAATTTACTTCGTTACTGGCTAACACTGGTTACCATAGTAACGAGAAAGGACAGACAAACAGATTATCAAGATGGCGATTAATCAACCACGTTATTATTAATGTTCGCATTGTTTTACGAAATAAATTGTGCTTTCTACTGTTTTAATACGTGAATTATGGGATAGATCGAGAATTTAGCGAGCGGGCAACAAATTGGAGGTCCCACTGAGACTTTTATACATAAAAAAAGCAGTGAATGCGAAGGAAAAAGTATGATTTTTACGCTTTTCTAAATTCTTGATTTTCGTATTTTGATCTTTGCTTTTGGTGATTTGCTGGCGATTATGGCTGAAGAACTGCAAGTAATGATGCAAACAACGGTTTGCCAAGCACCCGAAGAAACGCTCCATGCTATGGCAAAGGATTTTAAACTTGATATTTCGGAACAAAGGAAAAGTACAATTGTTTGCATGATTTTTAACCACATTGATAAAGAATTGATGGACAAAAACGAAGAACAACGAATGTTATTCTTGACAGAACTTCGCTCACGTTACTTTAAGAGCAAAGAACCAAAAGAAAAAGATGTTTCAGAATCAGTACCCCCTGTAAAACAAAACGCAGGACAAAGCACATTACAAGGTATGTTAGAATCTACAAGTGTATTTCGTCGACAATTTAAGATTGTGGGACAAATTGGGCAGCCAAATAAAAAAGACAAGTTGAGTTTCACATCCTTGACAAGACAAATTGACACTGGGGTTAAACAGGGGTACACAGAACAGGAAATTGTGGACGGTGTTGTTCATGCAATTAATGGTGGAATGGTTCTTCGAAGTTATGTAGAAACTTACAAGGATCTATCTCTAGAGCGGTTACGAAAAATTCTTCGAAACCATTATGATGTAAAAAGTGCAAATGAGCTATATCAAAGTCTTGCATCAATATGTCAAGGGTCAAAGGAAACAACACAAGAATTCCTCATGCGTGCCTTGGATTTACGCCAGAAAATCCTGTTTTCAAGCACTCAAGATCAAAGTGAGGACACTTTGGTTTATGAAAATGATCATATTCAAAAGCTGTTTCTACGTACTGTTGAAACTGGCCTTCAAGATGAAAATGTTAGAGTAAGGGTTAGGGGGTACCTCAGAAACCCCACAATATCAGATGAGGAGCTTATTTTGCAAGTGAATAATGCATTGTCGACAGAGAATGAACGTGTAAGAAAACTAAGAAACCAGAACCGCCAAAAGTCTGCCCAGGTTTCCCAGGTAGCAGAGAAAGCTGAGTCGCAAGATAAAATTCTAAAGACTCTGGAAGCATTGAAAGTTGAAGTGGCACAAGTTAAGAGTCAGTTGAAGGATATCAACCAAGAAACTGAACAAGCTCGATTACCAAATTCGCCTGCGCCAGTAGACACTAGAAACCAGTAAAACAATGAGAGCATTTGTCATTTCCACTGGTTTGGCATTGCAAACATTTTGGCGGCGTATTTCTTCTCCAGGAGGCTGCCTCTCCGGGGCCAGAAGTAGCCGAAAGAAGTTTGCGGTCCCAAAGATGTAGTTATTGTGGCAAGGACAATGATCAAATGACATTGTACTGTTGTGCACAATGCAAATGTATAGTTTATTGTTCAAAAAATTGCCAGAAAAGACACTGGAATGATCATAGGAAAAATTGTAAAACTCTTCGGGACCTGACATGGACATGTCAAAACAAAACACGCAGCAATAATAAGACATTTACCAGTCACCTAACTCCTAGTGAGCATGCAAAGATTGCTAAGCTAGTAGGAAGACGGTGCACTGTAAAGTGTTCTCTAAATAATTTTGAGTCAACAGTATAATGGGATACGGGTGCACAAGTATCTATCGTGTCCAAAGAAATGATGGGAAAACACTTTCCTAAAAATGTTACAAAGAACATTTCAGAACTTATTAATGGTGAATTGAATTTAACAGCAGCTAATGGTACACGAATTGCGTATAGTGGTTGGACTGAGATAGAAGTTAGATTGGTTTCATCAAAAGAAAAGGATCCATCGGTTATGGTTCCTTTCTTAGTAACAAACGACAGTTTAGAATATCCCATTCTTGGATACAATGTTATTGAAGAATTAATCAAGCCGACGAATACATCTGATATTCAGTCAGCACATATTGCTACAGTACAAGCAAGTTTTCAAGGTTTTGATGAGAAAGTGTTGCTCGAATTGGTTAGACTGATACAGACAGCAAGAGCAAATGAATTATGCACGATTAAGAGCCCAAAGAAAGACTTTATTATTCCGGCAAAGAAAACATTTAAAGTTACAGTGTAACTGTCAAGGGAATACTGGCATGGACCGGTAGAAGAAACTACACTTGTATTGTTTGAACCAGACGAATTAACGCCCTGGCCAGACGGTTGATCGGTCCACGAAACGGTAACAACAATGAAACAAGGCTCAACGTCTCAAGCAAAGATAGATGTGACTAATACAACTAATCATGACATTGTCGTGCTTAAACACACAGTATTAGGAAGTCTTCAGTTAATTAAATCGATTACACCTGTAGAAGTGAAGTTGGCAGAAAAGTCAAGCAAAGAAAAAGAACGAACAGTAACAGCCACACAATCCCAAGTGAATGCAATGGCGAAAGAAACTCGAGAAAGAGACAATACAAATGATGACCAGTTTTTACCTCAAGTTGACCTTAGTGGATTAACAGAACGTCAACGTCAAGTGGTTACTAACATGTTGAAGGAAGAATGTCACTCTTTTGCAAGAAATGACGAGGATATCGGTTATATCAAAGATCTAGAACTAGAAATAAATTTGACAACAAACGAGCCACTGCAAAAGAACTATGTATCGGTACCAAGACCTCTCTGCCCGGAAGTAAAACAGTACATTGAAGATTTGTTAAATAACGTGTTTATAAGAGAGTCAAAATCAGCTTATTCATCCCCAGTAGTATGTATTCGCAAAAAGGATGGAACTCTGCGACTTTGTGTCGATTATAGAGAACTTAACCGTAAGACAGTGCCAGATAGGCATCCTATTC